GGCATTTATTTGCATGTGTACATTTCACAGCATGGCTGCAACGCACTTCAGAGAGGGTCTCCTCGATGTATGTATGGAATCTCAGAGCTGCGTCCCTGGGGGGAAATACACAGTCTCCTGGCTACTGCTGACATCATGGGTAACATTACAAAAAGAGTTTGGTGCCACATACATGGAGGGGCAATTGACTACTAAAATGCAAGGTATCAATGTTTAAAGTAGGGCAATGTTTAAATAGCAATAGCAGTGTTTATAGTGGTGGGACAGGGTCTTGCTAAATCTTTGAACACTTTAAAGCAAAAATAAAGTCAAAAGGTTTGTAAGTTTTTTCAAATGCTGATGATATCACTTACAATGGATGCTACTGCCTGATGTGTAAAAGTTTTACTTCCTGCAAAATCAGCTGGTCCCCTGAGTAGGGATGGGCTCGATGATCGAGTCAAGCGTTAGTTCGTTACATCGGCAGTTCGTGTGTTAGAGCACCCCACAAGGGACTGTGCACCGCACAGTGCCTTGTGAGCCCTGATTAGCTAAGGCCTTGCACCTGACCAAAGGTTAGGTGCAAACTTTTGCCCAATCAGGGCACAGAACTCTGTAAGTGCCTTGATTAGGCAAAGGCATGATGACTTTGCCCAATCATGGCTCACCTGTCAGATGCGGTACAACTGTAAACAGCTGGGCAGAGCTAGCTGTCACCGCTAGCTCCGCCCAATTGTTTATATGTTGCCGACATCTGTTAAAATGCCATTATGCGGCGCTAGTTCGTCGCGAGTGAAAGGGACGGCGGCCGCCGTTTTTTAAAAATGATTCCTATTTATTTTTTTATTGTTTTATTTTTTATTTCGCCGAGTCGTTGTCATCGTGGACAACGCTGGACGTCGTGATTGACCCTAGGATTATGTTGGTGGATCCATTTTTTTTTTACAATTGATTTATTTTCAAAGTTCTAGCCCCATAGACTTGCATTGAATTCGAGTTCGATATTGAACATTTTTTAATGTTCTAAAGTTCGAATTCGAACCGAACAGGGGGGTGTTCAGCCCATCACTACCCCTGAGCACTGGCCTTGATATGCTGTTTTAGGGTGGCTCCTTTCCCTTGCAGGGTCCTATGGAGCCACTGTTGTGTGTGCTAGTGAGCTGTGTGTGTCTCCACAAACACAGCAAGGCAATCCATTCCCCTGCTCCCCTCATCTCCTTCCTTCTCCAAGCTAGTAGATGGACAGCTTCTGGAGGCTGCTCTGCCCCTTGTGATCTTGTTGCTGGACAGGACGTTCAGGGAAGGCGAGCTGAGCAAGTTGGAGCTGTTTGGAAACAGGATAACTGTGAGTGTTTGGGTAAAAATGTAAAGAAATACTTTGCTGGATAATTTATATTTATCTGATCTCAATTCATTATTGTTTACGCGTTTAATACTACTTTCATCATATAGTATGTCATTTTACAGATAATTAAAAAAAGAAAGAAATACTGAAATAAAACAAGGCTTCAGTATGATAGTTCTGTATTTGTACAATAATACATAAAATATAAACATGTCACTCTGAGATGTCAGAATTTGAGGATTTGCATCCTTTCCGTGATAAAGGTGTGTACCTAGTGTGTAAATATGATGTGTGTACATAAGAACAAGTGCTGGGATGGTAGGAAAACGTGTATCCAAAAAACCCTCCTGCACGCCGGGGACTGGTCAGAGGGTGTTTAAAATAGAACTAACTCTCACAAAAGAATATATACAGGGTTATTCACAAAAGGGTGAAGGGTTTGGAGAGGGCAGGAGAAGGGAACAATCTAGGACAACATAGCTCAACTGGAAAGTGAGCTGAATTGGAGAATTTTTCCAAGTCAGCTACTTTGGCTTAGATTGTTCCCTTCTCCGGCCTTCTCCAAACCCTTCACCCTTTTGTGAATAGCCCTGTTAGTTTTGTACTGCCAGTAAATTAGG